TTTTTAAATTTATTATGCGTTATTTGTCGCAACTACCATTATCCGCATACACCAAATTGTTTTGTGGAGTTTTATGTACATATACCTAATAAATATTTATGTACATATGTGATTAACTGTTGAGTATCTAGTTTCATATGTATGTACGTATGCACATAAGAATACATAGCACATTTGTATTCACCACTCCAATGCTTATGTCTGGCCCACCCGTTGACGTCAGTCCGCTGCTGCTGACTCTGGTAGTTTTTGTTGTCAAAAAGAGCTTAACGGAAACTCAACACCGAATTGCGCATATTTTTAGCAAATAATAGTAGGTGTCTGTTTCACGTATGTACATATTTTGTGATTTATTTTGTAGTTACATATCTGCATTACAATCTGTTTTGTATGTTGTTTATATTCACATTTTATTTGCTTGCTTGCTATCTATCTTTTATGTATGTACATATATTTGACGTTAGTTGCCGTATTTGGATGTGCGCTGTTTTTAAATACGTTTGATGCATTTTTCTTTTTTTCGAAATTCTTAAAACTATGCATTATTCGTTCGTTACTCCACTCGTTTCCTTTATTCAGCATTCAGCACATCCTCTTCCTGCCTTCGATAAATTCAGGTGTTTAATGTGGCAAACTGTGATTCAAGCATCAATTTTTCGACAGCCACTTCTAGAGTTTTCACAATTGTCAATCAGTCAGCTGCAGAAATTAAAGCAAACTGACATAAGAAGCGAAACAAAAGCTTTGCTCCAAAAAGAAAACAGTTTGCCACAACAAACACGTTCTTATATTTGAAGACTAGAGAACGCGCAACGGAAGTGCTGTCTGAAAGAAAACAAAAGAAATAAGAAAACTGAAAATAAAATATTCATTGTGGTACTTCAAAGATAACAAATTGTCGCCGCATAGCCCTTGAACTCGCGTAGTTGTCGTTGTCGCTGTTGCATCGCCTCGTGTTTTTGAAGAGTGCAGTGGGTGAGGGAGCGTGTGTGTTTACGTGGCGGTAAAAAAGCTGTTTAAACTGAATTTATCAAGCTCGTCGAAATTCCAATTTGCCACTTCTCCTTTCTTTCTACAATCTACTAACAACAGCACCTCTGTCCAAATCGTGGCCGTCTTATCTTTCGTTGCGACAATTTCTGTACCGTTTCAACTGCTGACCGGTGAATCAACAGGAATAAACATATCAACTAATTAAATATAATACGCAGAACCAATAAAATAAAAAGATTCTTATATTTCGATAACATATTTATTGCTCGTGTGTGCTTTTTTCTAAAATACGAGGATTTAAACATTTAGTACATAATGGTGAGTGTTTGTTTGCGGTTTTAGCTACGAAGCTAATAGCTGGCAAAGAAGCAAAGTAAAATTCTAACGTCAGTCACGCGGTTTAATGTTAATTTTTTTTTTTAATTCTGGTTGCCAAACAAGTTTCCTCCTTATCAGCATTGTTTTTCAATCATGTTTTTTTTTATGAGTGACGTTAGCCAATCGGTTTGTTTTTGCTTACTGGCAAGCGTGTGTCGTCAACAGTTCTAAGTTTGGATTAGGCTGAGTTTTAGTAAAAAAAACAGGCGCTGGAAAATGGTATAGTGGTAATTGTATTTTGATATGATTTTTGGTATGATCGAACGCACGTTTCATTTGTTATTACGTTTACTATTTCGGGGGAATGTTATTTTTGGTCTGAGGATTTTAATGTTATTAGCTACTAATTGCGATTTAGTGGCGATTAGGAACAGCAAAATTACCTTGAAAAAAACAAACGATAAGCTGTAATTTATATAAAGAATGCTTTTAAATCAATAAATAAAAGCAATTATTGCTTTTTTATCGCTTTGCTTTCCTACGTGGCTTTAACGTCATATTGTACTTAAATAAACACTTCAATGCTAAAGCCGAAACATGCGTCTATGGGCCATTTTCCCAGTCATTAGTTAAATAAAAGGAAAACAGCTGTTTTTAACTATTGGTCAAATTGATACTATGAAATGAAAAGTGGTGGTTTAACATTAGTATATTAGTTAACTAATGACTGTGAAAATGGCCCTATAGTATGTACATACTATGTTTAAGAATGCTGTTTTTAATACTTATCTTAAAGTATGTTTACATATAAATATAATCTCAATCAAAGCTCGTTTATTAATCACCCTGTTTACACAGGCAAATCTTAGATTATTAGCCCTCATGCTTATTGTGCTTGTTATTCTCCCATCTCAAGGAAACTTTATTTTTTCTTCTCTGTGCCACCGTGATCTCTTTTTTCTGCTATATAAAGCGATTTAAATATATTTTAACTCAATATTTAATTAAAAATACCTTTGCAAACCTCCTTTCCTTGCTAGCGTCCATTTTTGTTTACTTTTACATTTGGCATTTCTCCTCTTCTGGGTTAATGCTGAAAATTCTTCGAAAGCCCCAAAAAAGAGTCACAGCCGAGAATAGTGTTTTTAAGTCATTCAAATCGTTTATACCATGTATGTAGTACATAAAGACTTTCATTATTTAAAATTTCGAAATAGCATCCACTCGTAAGATTAGTTATAGCCTTTTGACACAATTTTTAACGTAAAATCTGTCAAAAGCTGCTTAGAATAGACTTCTTTTCATCTATCTATGAGTACGCCCCATCATTTTCTGTCAAACATAGTTTTCCTCTTAAAATAAAAACCTATTCATGAGGGATATATGTATTAAAAAGACGCAATAAGCATGTTTTGCATTTATTATGGAAACGAAATTGCAGCTGAAAATGTACTTACATCTATATAACACTTCATATACAAAAAAGCAATATTAGTAGATAACAATTGTTATAACAAAGTGTAGCCTTTTAAGTTTGTATATATATGAACTATCGCAAATTATTTGTTTGTACCGGGAGTCACCAAAATAAATTTAATACAACTAACTTTTGGGAAATGCTAAGCTACAAAAACTGTGCATTAATTCATTTAAACATTTTTGCTGAAAATGTTTGACACAATAAAAAGGTAAAAATCAGTAAAAATTTAGCCAGAGGTGAAATTTTTAAGGTGCCTTTGAAAAGTAAATACTAAAAGTATTTTTAAACACGTAAGAAAAATATAATTTATGAAAAAATTGTCAAAATGTGTATATAGAATTTTAAATTAAAGAAAAGGGGCAAAAGTCGCATGATTTTTAAGAAACGTTTAAAAAAGATTTTTTTTTATAAAATCGGTGTCAGGGGGCATCGATCTCCAAAAAGTGTCAATTTGATACTTTATTTGCACAACGGTAACACTACTCTTCGCAAAAATTATCGATAAAACTAGGTTGGATACCGAAAAGTTATCGGTGAATTTTGTATGGCTAACCTCTTTCTAATTACAGACTAGGGAGTTGAGCTCGAAAATTAGGATAATCTACTTATATGTAAACCTAGTATTAAATAATTGACGCGAGGCCATACACATATGTACATATGTATGTATATGTACATACATAACCCGGCTAACCAAAAGGATCCTAAAAGACTCTTTATAGCTCAACCTTCTTATATCGGAGCTTTTCCCTCATAAATGAGCTCTTTAGGAGCCCTATACTTATGGAGTATACTTAAGTTTACATATTCGTTTACGCATCTGTAGTAAATTTTTTAGACAATCATAAATTATATTAGTGGTATTCATCTAAACCGATAACTTTATCAAGCAGATAATCTTATAAGTTTATGCACTCTGTTACATGAACGACCCACACTCTCTTTTCGTTTACACATGCGACAATAGTCGTGTTTTCTTTGGTTATAAAGCGCAGTGTCACTAACTTTATACTACTAGCACGGGGATAAAGAAATTATAGAAACTACCTCACTAAATTGGAAAAAATTATATTTACGAGATATCTATTTAAATAAATGTACATATAACATAAAGGCTATTTATTTGAAGCAAGTTATAAGAAACAATGGCAGAATGTCTGTTTGTGTATGAATTCATTTGTCACGGCTACCAAACTTTGCGAATTATCAGTGAAACAAAACAAACAGACGGGATAATAATTGAACCAGATCTCTATCAGGATCATATCGTTGTTGAATTTGCGTGCAAAATTTGTATGCGGATCCCGATTATCACTTTAATTTTTTCTAACCTTTTTCTTCTTCCTCTTTTCCAGGCTGACCAACTGACAGAAGAACAAATCGCTGAATTCAAAGAGGCATTCTCGCTCTTCGATAAAGATGGTGATGGCACCATCACGACAAAAGAATTGGGCACAGTGATGCGATCACTAGGACAAAATCCAACAGAAGCCGAACTGCAAGACATGATAAATGAAGTCGATGCTGACGGTGAGTGTTCAGAAGTTAATTAACATACTTTTGTATGGTAGAGCTTATAAAAACTTAAGGAATTTCCGGAAGTGATATTGTGTGTATAACGGCGTATTTTTCACAGAAACCGGAAGTTTGCAAACAAATTAAAAAAAGATAAAATAAAATAAAATTATAGAATAAAAAAAATTAAATAAAACAACAAAATAAAAAAATGTGTGCACAGGCACACTTTTCGATTAAACGATAGCACTGTAGCACACTTGGCACAATATGAAAGCACAAACTGGGAAGTGTTTTTAGCAGGGACGTGAACCGGCTTTGAACCGGAAACCCGCGTTTTTTCTATTAATTAACTGAACCATTAACCGAACCGAAATTTTCCATAAATGTTTGATCCGAACCGAAAACCGCACCACTTTCTATGAAGGTTTAAAGGTTCCTTTCAACCAATTTTCAATAGATATTTTTTTTCTTTTTGTTAAACATGGTAATACCTGCCATGTTTGTTTACTATGTGACAATATCAAATGTAAAGGCAACCCATCTCGCCCTTACCTTGCGCATTGTTACACTTGACACTTGACACTTAAACTTGCGCGTTATTTTTTTGTTTCTCGAACCGTTGAACTGAACAAAAATCCCGGTTCAAAGATCAAAAAAACCGCTTTGACGAACCCATCTAAAAGTGCAAAAACGGTTCGAACCGGTGAACCGAACCGACCAAATTTTTCATCCGGTTCACGTCCCTGGTTTTTAGCACACATAGCACACTCTGCTGTGTTGAGTGTTCTCGCCGCCAATAATCGCAAACCATAAGAAAATAGCAAATTCGAGCGAAGGGTTGATAGGTAGCAATAACACAATTATGCTAACACAGTGGGCCTTATGCATAAAAAGTGAGCTTAAGCTCAGACTTAATTTTTGCA